CACACACACACACACACACACACACACACACACACACACACACACACTCACACACACACACAAACATATACACACACATTATTGCCTCTCTGCCTAATCATCTTTGAGGAGGCTTTGTTTGGCCCCCAACTGATTGTGGGATTGGCTGTCCTCTCATCAGCTCTCTCTCTCCTTTATTCTTTCTTCTCCATCTCTTTCCTTTCTTCTCGACTATTAATTTACTCTTTTCGTTCCTCACATTTGCTCCTCTCGTACTTCTCTCTTAATTTCTCCCCGATCTGTCCTATCTTCTTGCCTCTATTCACCTATGGGTGATTTGATTCAGCCTCACCAAACCAAAATGTCATAGAGAAACAAAGGCATCGGTTACCTTTACATGGAAGGCATTAACATATCAAAGAGCAGGGTGGTTGTGGAGTGAGGCTGAACGATCTACAGTGAGATCATAGTTTGAGATCAGCAATGAGGATGTGATGTGCTGCCCCGCCATCTGGTGGTGACTCTCTGTCTGCACAATCATGCTTTAAATATATTTCATTCGGGGATATTCAAAACCTTCAAATAAGACCGTCTTAATAAACATTATAACACAACCAGAAGGAAGCCCCTATGGACTTTACAAGTGCATATATGTCAGTGCCACTGGGTAAAGTTTCATATTATAATAGGACATAAAAAGACAGACAAAAAAACTTTATTCTGGTAGAAATAGAGGCAAAGCTTTAAACGTTTCTCACAATGAAGTGGTAGACAAAAGGGAAATGTTCATGAAAAACTAACTTCCAACATGTTTATTCTGCATGAGACAAGAAGCAACATCATCTCCTGGACACTAAGTCAAAGAGATTTGAGGGATATATGGTCATAATCTTTAGAAAGACTTTGTGCTAATAACACAATGGATTCAGTCTCATTGGTTTAAGATACCAAAATATTCAAATTTGATGACAGTGTTACATTGAAGTCGAATAGAGGTTTTTATTGTCATTGTAGTGATACAACAAAATTTCGTTTGGTAGCCCTCGGCCATGGCTGAGGGCTACCAAACGAAATTTGCAACGGAATTTGCAGCCAGCAGCAGCAAACAACAACAACGATAACAAACAATATACAAGATGAAGTACACAAAAGGAATAAGAGTGTTACTAAAGTCAAAAGAAAGCTGTGTGTGACACCTAAAACCATAAATACATCAGGTTCATATTAGAGACACAAGCAATGTCAGAACTCAGAGTCCAACAAAAATGAATTTGGTGCTCATCCATGAGCTGCTAGACTTAATGAAAAAAGAGAGAGCTTTCAAAACTCCAGTGCAGGGCTGTAAGCTAAAAGGACAGAGACAGACTGTGACAAAATATATACAAAAAGTACAGATGGGAATCTAGCCACACTACTGTAGTAACGCAACAGTGTATGAAACTGCATGTTGATATTGTGACACATCATTTCTTCATGGTAAAGAATTATAGGCGGTGCTCTCTGCCCCATATAGACCGGGCCATGGAAAGCCTTTACAGTGCAACTCAATAAAAAAAAGTAGCTGCAGGGTTGATATAGATATATATTCATTCAATTGGAATTTGGAAATTGAATGAATTCGGAAATTGAATGGCAAATATCGAAAAGGCGTTATTTCCTGCCACGTAACAGCGCATGCGCATGCGCATCACCCCGCTAACCATTTGGCGACGTGTACCCGGTGTGTGGAGCTGTTAAGGTATCTCTCTTCTGCTGGGTAACAAGCTGCTATTAAAACCGAAAAAGCCTTAAAAGTGCGAAACCATGGGAGGTGCGCAGAGTGTGGAGATACCGGGAGGAGGCTCCGAGGGCTACCACGTCCTCCGGGTGAGTTTTTAAGCATCTATAGGCTGCTGTTAGCTGTTAGCTGAGCATCGGATCAGAGGCGGAGGATTCCCTGTTCAGTGTGTTGACGAGAGGCCGGGGATGACTGCTGGGGCCTCCGTCTGGAAAACAACAACACAGTGTCAGAAAAATGTTGAGCGCTGAGTTGTGTCGGAGTCGCATAAGGCTTCTCGTTGTTTGTCGTGTTTATGTCTGCTATATGCTTAACAGACGCTAACCACCACTGTTGCAGCTAGCCAAAGCTAGCTACGTAGCTAGACTGAATGACAGCTGCCAAGCTGGTTTTGTTAGTGTGCCAGAGCACAGAGCTTATTCTCCATTGTTTTGCAAAATACGGACTGAGACGGCTCTAGTAGCAAGCTACTGACATACTGACGTCTCTTACTTATCAGTAACGCTAAGCGATAACATTAGTAGCTAGATGGCTAACTGGGAAACAGCAACGATACAGTTGTAGACCATAGGGGCATTGGTCCAATCCATAGACTGCAGACATCCTGCGGTGTAACTCAAGTATAACCGGTTTGGCTGTGCGGTAACTTTGAATGATACTTGTCTGAATCATCACCTGACATGTTTGTTTCCTAAAAGTTGCTTATTTGGAAGTCACTGAAGACCCAGCTCTCTTGTATGTTGGTCATATCAGGTCCAATCTACTGCTGTGCAGAATATCTCGGATACTCTTTCAATTAAATGCTTGAAGTGACCGTGTGCAGTCCAGCAGAAGCTCAGCTTTTCTCTCACTGTTGTGCAGGTTCAGGAGAACTCTCCAGGACACCGCGCAGGACTGGAGCCTTTCTTTGATTTTATTGTCTCCATCAACAACACCAGACTGGTAAGGAAAGCCAGCAGCTGTTCTCTAGCAGGGACCAAGTACAAGTCAAAAGAAACTGCATGACTCACGGTTGTCCCGCTGCTCTTCTCCCCTCCCCTCCCCCTTTTTCTACAGAACAAGGACAATGACACGTTAAAAGACTTGCTGAAAGCCAGTGTTGAGAAACCAGTTAAGATGCTGGTCTACTCCTCAAAGACGCTGGAGCTGCGGGAGTCTACAGTCACCCCCAGCAACCTGTGGGGGGGCCAGGGCTTGCTCGGCGTCTCCATTCGTTTTTGCAGCTTTGAGGGAGCCAATGAGAATGTTTGGCATGTGCTGGTAGGTAACCCCGAATTGTAGTCAGCATTGATTTGTTTTAAGTGGTACACTGGTTGTTTGTACACTGATTCTCCCCCTCTCTCTGTAACAGGAAGTAGAGCCTAATTCCCCAGCAGCCCTCGCTGGCTTGCGGCCGCACACCGACTACATTATTGGAGCCGACACTGTTATGAATGAGGTAGTTTATCATCACTTAAGGTCCTTGCAACTGTCACTCCTGCACATTCACCACCTGATAATGATAACGATAGAGATTGTGTGTCTCCTAATTGTATCCACCTCTCTGTGACTTCATTTGCAGTCAGAGGACCTGTTCTCTCTGATAGAAAGCCACGAGGGGAAAGGGCTGAAGCTCTATGTGTACAACACGGACACGGATAACTGCCGAGAAGTGATCATCACACCTAACGGTGCCTGGGGAGGAGAGGGCAGGTAACACACACACTTTTGTTTTGTTTTAAGATGTCAGTAGTGGGTTACGTACCCATCTAGCGGACACTGGCAACGAAGCTGTGGCAGCGGTTGTTTTTCATGATGGTCGACTAAATAAGCTGAGAGAAAGCGACTATAATTGATTGTGTGAAAACAATTATTGGTCGTTTGTGGAGACCAAAAACCAAACTAAAAGGACAGTGAATATGTGACTTACACTCGTCTGGTGGACACAAACTCAAAATGAATGATAATGTTGCTTTATTACTGCTGGATGTGTAATAAGCAGCTTTTTGCCACATCATCTTAAAAGGTTCCTTGTGGACGTTTTGACCTCTAATAGCGCTGTGGAGCTGTTTTTTATGAATGGGCCCGGGTTTGGTTTATCAAGTGCACAAGCAAGTTGACGTGACGCACATTCCTGCCAATAGTTTCACGCTGTTGTTATTCCTGTAAGTCGACTCACAACAACCTGTACAGCTATGTTTTACAATTTTAAGCACATTTTGTCATCAGAAAAAGTGTGTAAATCATGTGGTGGATGAATACAATTTCAGTAATTCACAAGAAAATATTCAAAATTGATTGAATATCAATTCATTTGATGTCGCACAACATTGCACTATTTTTTTATTAAAGACAAAGATTCAATACGGTTATAAAACAAAACATTTCATCCTTTTGTCAAATAAATTAGTCTAAATTTAGCTGTTGGTGTCAAATTCCTCATGACTAGCAGGCAACTCCTACTCCCAAGTTTACCCTAAACTCGTGTCAGGTCAGATATTTAGCCTGCTAGGTGTCAGCTAGCTTCTCTACTCGTCTTTGAACTTCTAATCTGGCATTTTTGTTGGGAAGCTCCAAAAACTACCAAGTGGAAAATCGGAACTAAAGTCGTGTAGTGTGAACTGTGCTAGCAGTGGCAGAGGGTCGTAAATGTGGGCAGTTATTCAGTGGGATGAAACCAGGCCAACCTCAAACGTTTGGATGAAAATCTCTGGGTTTGTCAGTTTGGATTCTGAACTATCTTTCTCCCTTTTCCAGTCTTGGATGTGGGATTGGCTATGGATACCTCCACAGGATTCCTACGAGGCCTTTTGAGGAGGGGAAGAAGATCAGCTTCCCTGGAAACTCTCCCAGTGAGCCCATGAGTCCGCTGAAGGATGGATTCACTGAGGTCAGCACACACCAGACAAACGTATTCCAGGTCGAGCTTTATTTAAGACGGCATATGTTTGCATGTAGTGTACAGCGCTTTGAGTTGAAAGACAAGAGAGTGTGTGTGTGTTTGTGCATGTCCACAGTCTATAAATGCAAGTTGCCTCAAAATGTATGCAGCATAGCAGGCGGAAGGACAGAGAGCTTAATGTAACTGCATTACAGTTAATTTCCCGTTGTGATGAATGTGTCCGTATCTGTTTGACAGCAGCATATTTTTCTCTACCACCTCCATCTTTTCTCTTAAACTCCTTCAGGTCCAACTTTCAGCAGTGACCCCTCCACCTACTGCACCTGTCATCCCGACTGGCCTTGAAGATTCACTGTCAAGCCTGTCAATCAGCACAGCCCCGCCCACCATGCCCAGGGAGCTGCAGACAGGTATTTCTGTTTTTTCTTTCACACTCATCCAATTACTCCGACACATTAAGCTTGTTATATGATATTTGTGAACAATCATTGTGTATTTACTCCATACATTCTTTTTTTTTCTAATCGCCTCCAGGTTTGCCCACTGTCCCTCTGCTCCCCTCCTCCACCAGCCACGCCCTCGGCCCACTCACTCCAAACACTACCGGCTTCAACCCCGCCTCCACGCTACCAGGTGAGGGATTTCTCAACGTACTCATTCAAAGCACATGACTTCAGTCTGCGGAGTCGGTGAGCCTTCAACGCCAAACATTTGGAAAAGCCAGTAGGTGACATAGATTAGTAAACACCCTTTCAGAATAAAAGAGACAGGTCTGTCTGAACCGCATTAGGTAATATCAAGTGTTACTTTGTGTACACACACCACTTGTTTTCTTAAGGACAAGCTGTGACTATCAGTAAACAGTATTTATGTTCACTTTAAGCTGCTTCAGTTCCCTAAACATAGCCAGTGTCTGAGTTCCTATCAAAGTACTATCAACCTTTTTCTGTGTTTATTCTGCCAATTGGTTTTGTTGCCACAGTCAGCTTCCTGACTTCCTCGCTCTTCTTCGTTGTATCTTGTTGGCTCACATAAAAGGCCATCCAAGTCTTGTGTGTCACTCCTTTAAACGAGGTCCACTCTTCTCAAGCAGTGAAGTAGCACGAGCGTAATGTAACTGGCACTTTTAAGAATGAATTAATAATGATCGTGTCTCTGTGTGTGTGTGTGTGTGTGTGTGTGTGTGTGTGTGTGTGTGTGTGTAGGTCTGATGCCCCTCCCAGCTGGTTTACCCCCACTCCCCAACTTGCCCAACCTCAACCTGACACTGCCAGACCTCAGTGCCATGTCACTAGCAGGCACCTTATCATCACTAGGAACTACAGGTACATTTTAAATAAAGGCATCAATCATTGTGAAAGATTTTCTCTGGCTGTTTGTGAAGCTTTTGAAATTTGAATATGATGGTATTGTCCTTCAACTGGATATGTCTGCCTCTAAAGTAGCGGTATCAGTTGCTGATTTACAAACTAGGTAATCAACTAGTACATCAACCTCAGTATAAGGTTTACACCTCATAGTATGAGTACATGCACTGGGATTAAGAGCATATATTATTATACTTAGTATGAGTATATGGTCTCATACTTGGTATGACTTCAGACTGAAATGTACACTAGTTATACTCTGAATAAAGTATTTTTATATAGCTACCATAGAGTCTATTTTACATCACGGTATTACTGGCTGATTTAGAAACCAAGCGGTCAAGTTTAATATATAGTCTGGTTAAGACTTTATTGTGATGCTTGGTTTTGATGCAACAATTCTCTTAATCCACTCTTGTTTTTCATTCTTTTTCTTCAGTACCCTCTCTGGCCGGTCTCTCACCCCTCAACTTCCCAGGTCTGTCCCCCTTGCCTCCTCTACCCACCATGCTGTCCTCCCAGCTGCCGCCTCTCCTCCCTCGGGGAGTGCTCCCCCTACTGCCCGTCTCGACCAGCGCTCCTACAGCCTCGGTCACAGTCACAGCAGCGCCTGCCGCCGAGCCGGCCGCTGTGAGCCCCACAGTCCCCACGGAAGCGGCCTCCACGAACGCCACGGAATCACCGGCCCCAACGGAAACAACGTTAACGTCGTAATATGTCAAAGAGGGTTTCACTTGCCATCAAACCAAAACGCATACCCGGTTATCCCCCCCTCCCCCGTCAGTCTGTCTTTCTTTCTCTGTGTTTTTCTATTTATTTGGCTAAGAGGGACAGGCTGCACCAGTTCAGACACAGGTCGGCATGTTCCAGGTATGGGTGATGAAGCTTGTTTGGAGCGATGATGGAAGAATGGAGGACGGCTGTAGACTGGTCTTACCAACATGTCTTTATTACCAGATTGTCATGGAGCTAGTCCAAGCCACTGTATGAGGAGGACGGGGTCTACACTTCTGCAGTTACAAGGATTTCCCCCTTTCAAATCTGGCAAGCGCCTCTGTTTCACACTTTCTCAATACAGTGTATATATATATATATATATATATATATAT